ATTAGGCATCTGATGGTGAAAGACTCTTGCACTTTTCCAGTGCATCCTTGGAATAGAGTCTCCATGATTAGATATGCATGACATGTTTTTTACATGTGTTGAGTTACATAGTCTGAGAGGTAGTTTATGAGAGCCTTTCCCAGTTGCCAGACCAACAGAACAAAGAAAGCATGTGTGGAATTTATAAAAGTTTGTTCAAAACCACTCTAATAAATACGTGAGATGATCAATTTACAAATAGAAAAGATTCATTTTGGCTCACAGTTTTGGAAGCTTTTTTTTAAGGCCATGATTAGTTGGCCCTGTCACTTTGGGTCTGTAACAAGACACCACATCATGGCAGGAGTGTGTGGCAGAACAAAAATTCTTCATAGCCAGGAAGCAAAAAAAAAGTGAGGAGGCAACCACAGTCCCGCATCCCCTTGGAGGCCAGACCCCAAATAACCTGAGTCCTCCCACTAGGCCTCACCTCCTAACGGTTCTCCCACTTCTAGAAAGTGTCACCCTGGGGACAAAGCTATTAACATTTGGGCTTTTGGGGGGGGATATTCAATATCCAAACTATAGAAACCCCTTCTATTTTAAGTATTAATCTGGCTTGGTTTCTGTATATTTATTACAAAGTCAGAAGAAATCTGGTCCTCAATGTTCTGAATGAGATAAGAGGACATACTGATGGGCTTAGAAGAGACTGAATGTCAGAATACATTCCTGGCTTTGAAGATAGCCCTTAATGTGGTTGACATTTGGCTACCAGTCATGGCCACCGCATGTCCACTAGACCCCAATCGCTGGAGATTCATTCCAGCTCAGGTCCCCGAACTGCCTGGACTACTACAGAGACCCACTGTTAGGCAGAGGGCAGGGAGTGTGTGGGGACCATCTGAATGGTGCTCAGAATTGCTGACCTATGTGTCTCTGGTTATTCTGAAATAACATTCTTTGACACTAATCATGCAACAAAGTAAAAAAGATCAAAGATTTCTAAAGTCAGACTGACCAGGATCTGAAGACAGGCTTGGCCACTGACCTGCCTTGGACTTTGGACAGGTTACACCATCCTATGAACCTTGGTTTCATCAGTAAAATGACTCCCAAACTGCCTATGCATAGGATTAGTGTGAGAATTAGAGATAATATATGCAGAATGCCTACACGGTCCCCCCCAAATTACAGCTATTATTATGAGAAGAATGAATACGTTTGAATGCAGGGACCCAGGATGAACTGAATATACTGCAATAGGTTAAACATTTGATGCTTAAAATTCTACAGTTAAAGGTCATGATGGGGCCATAATTCATATGTCTTGCTGCTGGATAGCTCTGATTCAAACCCATTACATTCCTGCTGTCTTGAACCACCGGAGGTACATGCATGACTGTTGCACCGGGTGAGACAAGTTGCTTGATGGGAGAGTACCAGTGGTTCAAGACAGCAGGAATGTGCTAGGGTAAAAGAAAGAAAGCTGGATACAGTAGTAGAAGTCACATCTGCACCTCTCCCTACAACAAAACTAAACTACAGCAATATTCATGTACCTCCTAATATCGCATATAAGAAGAACTTAGTTTCTCATCTCTGCCTCCTGTCCCCAGCATAGTGCCTGATCCAGCTGCTGAAGCTGAGCTCTTTGCCCAATCGCTAATTTTCATAATTCCAGCTGATATGAAGAAGGTGGCAGGAGAGGTGGGGCAGCTCCCTGGATGCAGGGAAAAGTAAAGGAGGCTTTGCCCATTAACTGGAAACTGGATAACGAAGATGTGGGTTTTTTTTGTAAAATGGAGTACTACTCAGCCACAAAAAATGAGAAACTGGAGTCATTTATGGCTAGATGGATGCATATTGAGGCCATGCTCTTGGGTGAAGTGGGTAGGACACGCATGTGTGGATGCCGAGTGGTGTCTCTAGTGTGGGAGACTGAAAGTGTAAATAAGGATGAAATGATTAAAATGAATAATTGATAATTTGATATAGAAAAAGATCCAAGGGTGGAGGGGTGGCGGGAGGGGAAGGGGAAAGGGAAGAAGGAAAAGGAAAAATTATGAGAAAGAAAAAACAAAAGGAAACAAAGTCTATGTAAATAGGGAAGGGTGGAGGGGGTGAAGGGCGCACAGGTAATGGGGGAAAAAATAAGAACTGAGATACATCATGTTTGGGTACAAACACCCAAAGATCAGTGTAAAAGTATTGTATACCTAAAATGTACCAATTAATATATAAATAAAAAAATTAAAAAGAAATTTTACAGAGACACATATATAAAAGAGAGAAAAGTGAAAAAAAGAAAAAAGAAAAAAGAAAAGGAGGCTTCAAGAGCAAAGAGTCAATGACTAATTTCCTCCAGGCCTCAGGAGCTTTTCCAGCCTCCAGGCTAAGAAGGAAGATTGGAAAACCCCTCCATCTGCAATGGTTCTCCAAGAAGAGGAACAACAGTGGCATCTTCAGGACAGTCAGGTGAACTTGGCAGGGAAAACACAGCAGAGAGGCAGAGAGAGAAAGCCTAACCACAGAGCGCACGGGGCCCTGGAAACACTCAGCTGCTTGACGGGGAGCTGGTCTTTGCACCTGAAAGTGCAGGTATTATGTAGAAGTGCAATCCACCTCTCTCAAGTGGAAGCCCAGGCCTCCTGTCCTCACGGATACATTCACACACCCACCCCCCCCACCCCCCCACCCCCATACACTGTTGGAACGGCTTCAGGCAACTCTCAGAGAGAGGAAAACTCAAGAAGAAACTCTCAGTTAGGGTCTCTAGGGCAAGCCACAGACCCTGGTTTTGAGCTTCAAATAAATGAAATTTACCAGTTGAGCTTGGTGGCAAGGCCTGTAATCCTACCATCCTGGGAGGGTGAGGCAGGGGGTTTGAGCCCAGCCTGGGCAACTTAGTGACTTAGCAAGACCCTGCCTTAAAATCAAACCTAGTAAAAGCTCTAAGGATGTAGGCCAGTGTGAAGGCCCTGGGTTCAATCCCCAGTGCCACAAAGCAATTAAAAATAAAGCAATGGAATTTAACAACAATGCATTAGACAGTGCGAGCAGCACTGGGAAAGGTGGAGAAACAGGGCAAATGGACAAAGGGAAGCTAAATATCCAGGATCCAATCAAAGCAGCCACAGGATGATTCTCCCACCAGCTCTGCCTCTAGCATTGGCAATGAGGAGCTACAGCTGGACTCACTGCCCCTGCCATCCCTGGAGAGTGGATGCTGCAGGTGATGCCTGCTCTGCCAGCAGAATGATATCCCCACTATCCCTGCTTCCTGACTTCACTAGCATTCCATCCATCCAAAGGCCACATGGTTATGTCTAGTTCATCCCTTCCAGGCCATCAGCTTGCCTTGTAGCTGTAAGAAAACCTGGTAAAAGATCTTTCCAGACAAAAATGAATTCCCAAAGCACAGAACAGATTTTGCAGATGCTATGCAGGAAAACACCAATCACTGTCCCCTGTGGAATGGGATTGCACAACCAGCAAATTGCAGCCCCACCACCAACGGGCCTTTGAGTTTAGAGAAAACTGAAAAAGTAGAAAAGATCAGTAGCCAAGATTTCAAAATCTAGATTCAAGTGCTCATTGTCACTTACAAGCTATGTGACATGGACAGGTAAATAACCTGCCCTGGGTTTTTGCTGCATAGTGAATAGTTACAGCATTCCTGCCTACCTTACAGAGCAGATGTGTGTAACAGACTTTGAAAACTGTGCTGAGTATGTCTGATGGAATTAATATGAAAAAATGGAAACAAAGTCTTTGTAAATAGGGAGCAATGGAGGGGTTGAAGGGAGGGCAGGGGAATGGGAAAAAAATAAGAACCAAGATGAGTGAGTACATCTGTTTGCCTCCCAGAGTCTCAGGTTAACCATCTGTGAAGTAAGAACGATATTCCCTGTACTGTAGGGCTACTATGAAGTAAAGGAGAATATCATGAGTTAATGGTTTATTTACAGAGCGAAATTCATTGATGTCTGCGAATTGCCTGGAAATAATGAAGGTGGTGGCACAGGGAGGGCTGTACATTAGACTGACAGGGACACAGATGGTCTGAGTGGAACCTGGCCGGTGACCCACTGTACCATCTTGTCTACATTAGTGTGGAGTGAAATCTTAGTGAAGCCGTCCATAATAAACTCTCAAAATGAGGGTCCAGCGTTAGGAGAAACAGGCCACAGTCTTCAAGTTTTATTATTTACTAGGTCAACATCCACCCCACCGCCACCGAGCCCCTTATATTTTTCTGCCCCCCAGTTCGTCCTCATCGGGAAGGCAGAGAGAGAGAGAGAGAGAGAGAGAGAGAGAGAGAGAGAGAGAGAGAGAAAGAGAGAGAATAAGCGTTCGGGAATCCGTGGGGCAGCCTTTGCAGTTTAACTCTTTCAAATGTATAGAAACGGCCTCAAACTTTTCTAAAATTGCATTCAGCTAATGACCCTAGCAAATAACAGGATGCACACTTGCCTCCTTAGGCCGCATCCATGTGTCACAGCCGGCACAGGGGTTGGTGTGTGGCGTGTGGGGGTGGCGCCCAGCAGGTGCAGCCCAGCAGCACCAGGGTCAGACAGTGCATTCAACCATGGGCTCCAGCTCTCACCCCACCAGTTGCCTGGGCAGCGGGATTTTTCCAGAAAAAGGGACCGACTGACAGCGAAATAATGTGATGGGGGGGGGGGGCTTGGAATGGCCTAGAAGGGGACACAAGCATCCAGAGGAGAAATGACAATCACATCGCGGGTGTCTGATTGCAATAATTAATTCGACCGTAAAGGTTTTTTTTTTTAATCAAGGACAGGCTCCAGGTGCGCCTAGAAGGGTTTCAGGCGTTGGCCAGCAAACACACAATCAGCCTTGCGACCCAGCCTCCTTTGCTAAACCTACACTATGTACCTCCTTCCCAACCAAACAACGCCCGTCCGCCACGCCCAGGAAGCCCGGAACAAACATGATCCCGATGGAACGGAAGTGCTTCTGCCCTTATCTAAGATGGCGGAGGAGGCGGGGCTGAAAGGCGGAAGTGGCTGCCAGCTGACGGATCCTAGTAACATGGCGGCTACGACTACCTCACCCGCCCTGAAGCGGCTCGATCCGCGGGACGCCGCAGCGCTTTTCGAGACTCACGGGGCGGAGGAAATCCGTGGGCTAGAGCGCCAGGTTCGGGCCGAGATCGAGCACAAGAAGGAGGAGCTGCGGCAGATGGTGGGCGAACGGTACCGCGACCTGATCGAGGCGGCCGACACCATCGGCCAGATGCGCCGCTGCGCCGAGGGGCTGGTGGACGCGGTGAAGGCCACCGACCAGTACTGCGCCCGCCTCCGCCAGGCCGGCTCGGCCGCGCCCCGGCCCCCGCGGGTCCCGCAGGTCAGTCCCGCAGTCCGGCCGCGGAGCCGCCGCCTGCAGCGCCGCCCTCACCTCCGGCAGGGAGCGGCGCAGGCCGGCCTTCCTCGGGCTGCTTGGTCCCTTCGCGACGTCGTGGACACTGTCTTCTGGAGCCGTCCGGACTTCCGGCCCCGATCCGCTCACCGCAGTCGGGCTCCCCGTTAGGGCTGAAAGCGCCCGAGGACTCGAGTTCAGCTCTTTCCCGAATTCACCACCTCCTGACGTTTTCCATGGAACAGATTTCCCCCTTATGTTCACACCTTCCCCTCAAGCCATTCATTCTTCATCCCAGCCTTCCCCTGACCCGCCCCCCGGAGTAACTTCACCCTGCCGGGTGGCATGCCAGCCTTTGGGAGTTGGAGGGGGGAACCAGGCTGCAGGCCCTGACCTTTGAGTACTCGCACGTGTTCATGGTAGGGAGCTAGGGCTCTTCCAATTCGGGTCTCCCTGTCTTCTTTCCCCCAGACACTAATGATAAGGCCCAGCTAGGAAGGATGTGGGAATAAATACCGAGCAGCCTCTGGCCTCCCTGAAGAATGTGGACCTAGGGATGAGTAGACTGAAGGGCGTGGAGATGAAACAGGTGTGGGAAGCATTTGTGCTTAACCTTGACAACTTACTGGACTCAGAAGAGGAAATTGCAAAAGTACCTCTAGCTCCCATGTGGAACCTTTTCGTGCTACCTGGGCTGCAGAAAAACCCAGGCCAGTGAGGGGGGTAACACAATAGAGCTATACGTAGATGGTTGGAAATCCTTTGGAAATTTCTGAAATGAGTGACCTCATCTATCCATGAAGTGTGCCTTAAGTACTTGTTCCCTAAAGGTGGCCAAAGTTTGCTATGACTGAACTATACTTTCAGGGTTATTAAAAGGCCTGATTTTAGAAGTGTATCCATTTTCAGTTACTGTATATGATTCTCTGTCAAGTCTCTTCAAATCTGATTCAGCCTACTGATGCAGTCTAGTCAAGGTTATATTTATTTCCAGTACCGAGGATCGAACTCAGGACCTTGTGCTTTTGAGGCAGGCACAGCACCACTGAGCTAAATCCCTGGCCCTAGTCAAGGTTATAAATCCAAGACAAATTGACAGGAAATAGAAGTAATTTAGAATAACAGTAGGAAATATTTTAGGATAAGAGATTAATTCCCAAAATAATTGTGTCCACTTGCTGTAAGAGTTATAAAGGAAGTTGCTTTAGGATTGGGTCCTCAAGAAGAAAGGGTCTTAAAAACAGATGAGATTTGAAATACAACTGTCTTAGTTGATTTACGTTGCTATAACAAAATATGTGAGACTGGATAATTAATGAATAAAAATTCATTTTTTCATAGTCTTGGTGTTTGGGATGTCCAAGATAAGGAAGTGGCATTTGTTATGTGATAAGGGCCTTCCTAATGTGTTATTGGTGGTGGAAAGGGGGACCATAGAAGGGCCCAAGCTCATTCCTCCCACCTCTTTTATAAGGCAATAACCCCTTTATGAGGGGATGTTTGAGAGGGTAGACTAAGATGGGGAATAGCCTCAAGACTCAAGGATATGAAGATTTATAGAGTTGATGAAGAACAATTAACAAGGAAGCCCATGGTGCCCTCCAGAAAACAGGAGAAAAGTAGTAAGGTCGACCGTCTGGAAAAGAAATGAGTTCTTACAGAAGGAATAGCCTACAGAGGTCACTACTATTGACATCAAGAGTATCAGAACATTAAGTGGATAACTGATGGGCCTGTAGATGTGGTATACATCTATAATCCCAGCACTCTGGGACTCTGAAGTAGGAGGACAGCAAGATCAAGCATAACCTGAGAGATAACAAGATACTATCTCAAAATAAGGGAATTGGGGCTGGGGATTTAGCTCAGTGGTGCCACCGCCTGCCTTGAAAGTGCAAGGTCCCAAGTTCAATCACCAATACCAAAAAAAAAAAAAAAACGGGAATTGGAGGTGTAGCTTGGTGCAACAGACCGGTGGTCAGTTCACAGTACTACCAAAAAAAATGGATCACTGATAACCAGATGGTGAGATGATGAAGAGATTTACATCAGATCTTGACACTTTGCTGAGTGGCACTGGCTCCAGCTTAATGAAAGCTTTAAATACTGAAATTTAAAGCCTGACTCACCCTTGAGCCTGCAGACACTGAACTTGCTTTTGTTTGCTGTTCTTTGTTGTGGCCTTCCCTACAGCCACAGCCACCGTCCCAAGAGAAGTTCTACAGCATGGCTGCCCAGATCAAACTCCTATTAGAAGTTCCTGAGAAGATCTGGAGCTCCATGGAAGCCTCTCAGTATCTCCATGCCACACAGCTCTACCTGCTCTGCTGCCACCTCCGCAGCCTGCTCCAGCTGGATTCTTCTAGTTCCCAATACAGTCCAATCCTCTCCCGATTTCCTATACTCATCCGGCAGGTAGCAGCAGCCAGCCACTTCCGGTAAGTAGATTCCTCAGAAAAATTTCTGGTGATGGCCAGGCCTCACCACTGCAATTTTATGATCTGTCTTGATATACCCAGGCTCTTCAGCAAGGATGTTAAAAATTCCTTGTTGACATTTGTCATCTTCATTCAAGGTCAGCCATTCTGCGTGAAAGCAAGATGCTGCTCAAATGCCCAGCAGTGTCTGACCAAGCTGTAGCAGAAGCCCTCTGCTCCGTAATGCTCTTGGAGGAGAGTTCCCCCCGCCAAGCCCTCACAGACTTCCTGATGGCCAGAAAAGCAACTATTCAGACACTTCTCAACCAACCCAACCATGGTAGGTGTGGCTTCTTTCCAAAAGTTGATCCTTAAGTATAGGATGGAGCAGGGTGAGCGGAGGGAGACTGGAGCATCCAGAGGGCTCTGTCTTTAACTTTACTAATGGAAATTATTTAAAGAGGATGATTTCTTCTCACAGGTTCTGGTATCAAGGCACAGTTTTGCTCATTAGTGGAATTGCTGGCCACCACTTTGAATCAAGCACACGCCCTTTTCTACACTCCACCAGAAGGGCTGCTGCCAGATCCATCTCTGCCATGCGGCCTGCTCTTCTCTACTCTGGAGACCGTCACAGGCCAGCATCCTACTGGTGAGCTCTTAATCAACATTTTCCTGGCTCATCTGACAGATCTTTACCCAGTGTCTATTGTGTACCAGATACTATGCCAGGCTCCGAGGAAACGAGAAATACCTCTTGTGGTAGAGGCAGATATTGAACTCATGAATATGCAAACAGCTGTTTAACGTCAGTATTAGTCATTGCTATAAATGCAGATTACAAATTGCCTTGGGAACACTGACTGGAATGTGCCAGGATCGGAGAAGACTTCCTGAGCAAGTGCTAATTAAACTGAAAGCTAAAGGTACAGTACATTTTAGTTAGGTGAAGAAGGCAAGGAAGAATTCCAAGCAAAAGGAAGAGGGTGTGCACAGCTGCAAGACAAGGAAGGTGGTAGTGAATTGGAGGAAGTGAAGAAGCCAGTGAGGGTGAGGTTTCTTGGGTGAGATTTAGGAAAGCAAAAGAAGAGACAAGATGTGGCCAGGAGCCAGACCTTGTAGGCCAGGGTTGGGAGTTTTGACTACCCAAGGAACAATGGATACCCTTCTGGAACCTTCCTAGCTTGGTGTGTTCCTCTATGTTCCCATGTATCTGCTTCTTCAGTTGAATAGCATTTATTTTAACTGTAATTAGACAACTGCATCTGACTCATAAATGGTAGAGTGTGATAGGGTAGAGGGATGCTGAGAGCTCACTTAGGCTGTCATTATGATCCAGGGGTCAGATGCTGGGTTACTAGGGAGCCGTAAAAATGGAGCTCATTGGACAACTCCAGTGTCTGTCAAAGAGAGGATTTGATGATGAATTGGCTGCATAGGTTGTAGGAACGGAGGTGTCCAAGTTAACTAGAAAAGGAGCTGGTTTGAAGGGTCTGGTGATGGGTTCACACACATGGAAATGTTGCAGTGGAGAAGACTTAGACCTTGGAATGGTACTGAGGGTGGGCAGGTGACTGTGGGCTCAGAACAGAAAGTGAGAGGTCTGGTCAGAGACACACGCGCAGGGCATCTACATATGGCACTTATTTGAAGTATATGGAAGTTATTTGATACCAGTAAGAAAAAAAATGACAGAGGACAGTTCCTTGGAACTCCAGAAATCCAAGGTCACGTGGAGCTATCTGCAAAATAGACGGTGGAGATACATACCAAGACTGAAAATAAACAAGTGAGTGTGGTTATAAAAAAGTGGCCATTTCCAGGGAGATATGAGTATCACATGATCTCATCTTTGAGTAACTTTACCTTTCAGCTCAGGCACAATTTTCTTATGTCTTGGTTTCTCTCCCAGTGCTTACATTTGATACTTTACCCCTTTCATAGAGGATGAGTATGGGCTCTAGTGCATCAGCAAACAGAATTATGGGGGATTGCGAAGGGCCCTCAGTTTCAAACTCACAGGCCCTTGTGCATAGAGTACAGGGAACGTTGCCGCCCAGAGCTATGCTGTATAGTCTGGGATGGGTGGGCATCAGTGCTTCCTTTTGTTCTTCCAGGGAGATAGGAATATGGTGAGGAAAGGGAAATGATGCACTTTACTTTTTTCACTTCTTAAGTTCTGCTAAAGTGTCAAGGATTGCCAGGTGGCCCTCACCTATAGTTCCAGCTACACAAGAAGCTAAAGCAAGAGGATTGCTGATCCCCAGGGTTAGAGGCCACACTAGACAAAATAGTTAAGACCACAACTTAAAGAAAGAAAAAACAAAATTAAGGAGTACACAACACTCATTTCTTCCTTCTACTCTTTTTTACCTGCATTCCTTCATCCAGGGGATGGCCAGAGTTGTAGGAACTCTGATCCTGAATGAGGGAGGGCCTGGACATATGCTATCCTTTCTCCCCCACCCCTACTGAAAGGGTCTGTTTTGACCCATTCAGAGATAGCTAGATTTTTGGGAATTCCTCTGCAGTCCATTTTTAATATGCTGTTTCAGATGTGGCCTAGGCTGCCTCTCACTTGGATTTTTCTCTAGGGAAGAGCATCAGTGTCCTTCAAGGGGAGATGAAACTGGACAGTTGGTTCAGACACCTGCCATCATCTGTCATTGAGTTCCAGCCAGTGCTCCGAACCCTGGCACATCCCATCAGCCAGGAATACCTGAGAGACACATTGCAGAAATGGATTGCCATGTAAGTAGCCAAGAGCATCTCAGGTGGCTTGACCCCCGTACAGCTGGGATGTGGCCATAAAGGGTCACGATCACCTGGGTGAAGTGCCACATGCATTCCCATGTGGGAGAACCAAGGAAGAAAACTATCTTTCAAAACATTGTGTAGGGCTCTTAAATTATCTTTAAATAAGAGTTTTGCAATTCCTAAAATTTTATTTAGTGCATTGGTATTTGAAACCATTCCATAGAGTTCTAGATTCCCTTGTATCTTCAAGAAAGCAAGAGTTGAGAGGGCTACAGACTATTTCCTGAGCCAGTTAGAAACATTGAAATCTGAGTACTCTGAATATACATGTATATATACATGAGATTTTTAAGCTGGTATAATGGATATGCCTGGGAGACCGAGGCTGGTGGATTCAGGTTTAAGCCCAGCCCGAGCAACTTAGAGACCTAGCTCGACCTTATCCCAAATAAATAAATAAAATTTTAAAAGGGCTTGAGTTCTGCCTTAGTGCAAAGGCCCTGGGTTCAGTCTCCAGGCCCACCTACCTCTTGAAAAAAAGGTTTTGAAACAGAGTACTGTCATTTCTCTTACATGAGCGCAAGGTCCGAGTTCAATCCCCAGTACCAAAAAAAATAATGGTGTGAAAACCGCAAATGTAGTGAGACTCATGGAAAATCATGTTGTTCAGGTGTAATGAAGATATTAAGAATGGGATCACCAACCTGCTCTTGTACGTGAGGAGCATGAAAGGGCTCGCAGGGATCCGGGACGCCATGTGGGAGCTACTTACCAATGAGTCTGCCAGTCACAGCTGGGAGGTGGTGTGTCAGAGGCTCCTGGAGAAGCCATTCCTGTTCTGGGAGGACATGATGCGGCAGCTGTTCCTGGATCGCTTACAGGTAGAGTGGAGAACCACAGGGGATCCCCATTTCACAGCCAACCCAGTGTGATCTCATGTCTGTCCTGAGAGCCTCCTGTCACTTCCTGGGTGTAGTCTGTCCCTGCCCACTAGCACTTAGAGAATCCAGACCTGAAAAACATACCAGGCCTCACTCAGGTGGCCAGGAACAAGCCCATGTCCACTAGTGATGGTCTCTTTGGTTCTCGGCCATGCCATGTAGATTTCCTGAATGTCGTGGAGAACATTCTGAATGCTGAGGTCAGTTGCCATCTGGTACTCTTGTTTTGAGACTTCATTAAAGAATAGGGATCCGAACTCTTCTCTCATTCTGTTTCAGACTCTGACAAAGGAAGGCTTTGAATCCATCTCCCGTAGCTCCAAAGAGCTCCTGGTCTCAGCTCTGCAGGAACTTGAAAGCACCACTGGCAATTCCACAGCCAATAAGCACATCCACTTCGAGCAGAACATGTCTCTGTTCCTCTGGTCTGAGAGCCCCACTGACCTGCCTTCTGATGCTGCCTGGGTCAGCGTGGCAAATCGACCCCGCTTAGCCAATAGTGGCCTCTCCATGAGAGCCCAGGCTATTAGTCCTTGTGTACAGAACTTCTGTACTGCCTTGGATTCCAAACTGAAGGTTAAACTGGAAGACCTCCTGGCCTACCTTCCTTCTGATGATGCTCCCCTGCCCAAGGATGCCACCCCCATGCAGCAGGCCAGGAACTCTGCCTTTGACCGATATGCAGATGCGGGGACTGTGCAGGACATGCTGCGGACTCACTCCATGGCGTGCATCAAGTATATCACAGACTGCATCCAGGCAGAGCTGCAGAGCATCGAGGGAGCTGTGCAAGGCCAGGAGAATGTGCTCCGCAGCACCAAGCTGCACACAGTCCTTTTCATGGCCAGACTTTGCCAGTCCTTGGGAGAACTGTGCCCCCATCTGAAACAGTGCATTGTGGGAAGGTCTAGGAGCACTGAGAAACCAGCAAGGGAGGTGAAGGCTCTGAGAAAGCAGGGAAAGGGGAAAGCTCAGGATGCCCTTCACATGCAGTCCCCGTGGCAGGAGGTTAAAGAATTACTTCTCCAGCAGAGTGTGATGGGGTACCGAGTCTGGAGCTCAGCAGTTGTGAACGTGAGTGATTGGAAATTCTTAGGATCCCTTGTTTGCCTCACTTTATCTTACTCTGGTTTTGCCAACCTCAGTAAGTTCCTGAAGTCATAAGAGAATAACAGCTTATTTCATAGTTGCATGCAACTTATCTCTGCAAGATGGCTCAAGTGTAAACCTTTCCTACTTGTTTTTAACTTAGATTTTATAGACAGAAAAACCTTCATTTTTTTCCTTCCATCAGATGGAAATGAAAAGGTCTCCTGCAAGGTGTGGTGGTGCTCATCTATGATCCTAGCAGTCTGAGAGGCTGAGGCAGGAGGATCACATGTTTAAGCCCAGCCTGGGCAACTTAGTGACATATCAAGACTATCTCAAAATAAACAAAATAATAATTTTTAAAATGGGCAGGAGATGTAGCTCAGCCCAGGGTTAAATCCCCAGTAACATAACATGCGTGCACACACACACACACACACATGCACACATAAACGCACACAAGAAAAAGAACAAAAGAAACATTTTCTTCATGGACAGTGGTCTATATATCCTGCTTTTCAATGTAAATATCTTTTTTGTTGTTGTTGTTTTTGTGTTTTTTTTGGTACCGGGAACTGAACTCAGGGCCTTGCGCTTGCGCAGCGGGCGGGGAAACCACTGAGCTAAATCCCCAGCCCTCAATGTAAATATCTTAATCCCTGTACTCTCAACTGGTCTCATATTGAGACAGATAATTGTGTATAAACAGCTCCTAATCGCACGAACTTGAAGAATGAAATCATGAACAAGAGGAGGAATTAGGAGAATATTTATTTAAAATAAGAGAAATGGCTCCTGTAGCCAAAGTGTTTGTGTGGTTTTTTTGGTCCTGTTTTTATATGAATAACCAGAATGTGGGGAAAAGCTTCTTTCAAAGAAAATGAGTTTAAAGAAATGGGTTATTTTGCATTTCTGATGTTTTTGAAGTCCGATCTGGAAGTACAGAGGAAGAAAGGTCCTTCTCTCTGTATTTTTATTTTAATCTTTTATCTGTGTGTGTGTGTGTGTGTGTGTGTGTGTGTGTGTGTTTGTTATTTTTAAGCTTACCCTAGCTATTTGAATTGCCTCTTAACTGGGTGTGTGTTACTTTTTTTTTTTAGCTTGATTTTATCTTAAGCTTGCTCTGGCTGCCTACGTACAAGATAAATAACTAGACTATTACAGTATGAGATGATGTTGACGTTAGTAGGGTGCAGAGGCTCTACATTCCCTTTACTGTAGTAATAATTAGCCAAAAAGAGTGCTGGTGGCCCCTAGACACCCCACATGCAAACTTAGCAGCTTAATCTGCTCTGAAGATTGTTCTGGTTAAACAAACTCTATAGTCTGAAGGACTTATATGGGTATTTATTTTTATCACCAGGTTCTGATTCATGGATTCACCCAGTCATTACTTTTAGATGATGCTGGCTCAGTCCTAGCCACGGCCACCAACTGGGAGGAACTAGAAATTCAGGAGGAGGCAGAATCCGGCAGCAGTGTCACATCCAAGATCCGACTCCCTTCCCAGGTGAATGCATCCCACTGTCACAGGGACCTGAGCTGAAGAAGGGAAAGGCTTCCTACGGGGGAAGCAAAACAATCTTAGAAAATCATTTGACACTCAACTTCTGAGTAGTAGCTGCAAATAATATGTACAGCAGGACTGGGGGCATAGTGGATGTGGGACCTCCTAAGGCAAAAAACTGCTTTAGAAGGTGGCTTAGATTCTTTTCTTGGTACCATGGGCTCTGTGCTAATGAGAGAACCATTTACCCTGAAGTGCAGACAGCACCATTACAATCCCAGCTGCCTGGTGGACCTCAGAGTACGGAAGGGAGGACTCCACAGGGGCTGTGTATCTGGAAGGTGCTGGAGTGGAGAGATCAAGGTCCTGCCATGCACGCCTCCTAAGGATAAATGGGCCCACCTTTGCTACACATCATTTAATGGGTGTAAATTGGCAACGTGAAATTCCTTGTTCTTTTAGCCATCCTGGTACGTACAGTCCTTCCTGTTTAGCTTATGCCAGGAAATAAATCGGATTGGAGGCCACGCCCTGCCGAAGGTGACACTGCAGGAGATGCTGAAAAGCTGCATGGTTCAAGTAGTCACTGCCTATGAGACACTTGCAGCAGAAAAGCAGGTGAAGGTGGGTGTTTGAATGTTCTCCCTTTAGTAACCAATAAAGGTGTATCTTTTTCTTGGGTGCTGGCAGGTACATCAAAGGTCCAGAGTGTTAAGGGTCACCCAGCCCAGGCTTCAGTTCCTATAAATATGTTCCTTTCTATTAGGGGTGGCTTGCAGCTCTGTGGGTTCACACCCATTCTCCTGGACCTGACGGGTCTTCCTGGAGTAGGTGGTTCAGGACAAGTGTGCCAGATAACAGCTTTCATAGGGCAAGAAGGCCCGGCTTACAGCCCTGGCACAGCTACCTGCTCACTGCAAACTCTGGGCAAATCATTAACCATCCATTTCCTCAGGATCACATGTGCCCAGTAGATAAAGCCTTCAGCTGGCTTCTCCCAGCTAACATGGAGACCTCCCCACTCATCCCCAGCAGGGTGCCTGTGAGGAGGGCAGGTGCCCAGCACTGCTCTGGCACATGGAAATCCTTGAGGGGAGTCTTTGTCTCCCAGCCTCTGCTTCCCACTCCATTAGAAACATTTGAAAGACAAGACCAGTCCTGATTTGGGGACGGAGTCAGCGAAGTCTGCTCTGCTCGGGTTCCTCACAATACCCCTCCTTCATGCATGATGCCCTGGTTATAGAAATGCCATCTACAGCACTGAGGGCTTTTTGTTTGTTTTAAGGGCTGGGTCTCTGCCCTGCTTTTAGCTCTTTAGCTTTATGACCCACTTTCTAGTGTACACCGAAGTTGTGAGATTAAACCTGATTGCGAAACAAGCTGTAGCCGTCAGAGCACACAGGTGGTCCCTGTGCCATGTAAGCATCCAGTCTCTCCCTGGGATGGGGACTCACTTGCAGAAAGAAGGCACATTCCCACTGACCCAGAACTGGGCGCTGCAGCTCCTCTATGACCTGCGCTACCTCAGCATTGTCCTCACTACCAAGGAGGAGATGAAGAGTGGCCACAGCAAGCCAGACTCCAGGTACTGGATCTCTTCTGGACTCTCCAACATGGTCTCTTCCCAGTGCAGAGATGCTCCCTGCCCATGAGGGCTCTTCTCGTGATTTTTCAACATGAATATGGTGGGCAATCAGTAAGCATTCAGGAGAAACTGCCCTTCACATTTTGCAGTGAGGGCTTTTCGTGGGCTGGGTGATATGCATTGTGATGCTCTATCAAAATGCTGGTCAGGGTCAGGAGGCCACAGCTCCAGGGCAGCCCTGCAGTCGTCAGGGGAAACCACCCTCCCTCCACAGCAGATGCTGGTGCCAGGCTGTGGTGACCAGGTTTAGTGTAGAGTACTTTCAGTTTACAGTGGTTTGTTGGGACATTACCCATCATAAACCAATGAGCACTGTACCCCCTTTTTCTGGGTTGCCCTCAAAGAGAAGAGCCAACTTCCTGCACATTTCTTATCCTATATTGTGAGAGTTCATACCATATTTCCCCAAAAATAAGACTAGGTCTTATATTAGTTTTTGCTCCAAAAGACCCAATAGGGCTTATTTTCACAGGATATCTTATTTTTTCATGTACAACAATTTACATTTATTCATGTATAAAAATCTGCATTTAGGGGACTGGGGATTTAGCTCAGTGGTTTCACCGCCTGCTGCAAAAATCTGCATTTATTCAAATACAGTCATATGGTCTTCTGGAACATCAGCATAACTCTCCAAACCCCGAATTTCAGTCTGAATTTCTTTTTCAGGAGGAGGGCTGGCTTGAGACAGTCTCACTTTGCACTTCAGACTGGCCCTGAACTCACTATGTAGTCCAGGCTGGCCTCGAACTCGCAGTGATCCTCCTGCTTCAGCAGTCTGAATTTCTTACAACTCCATTTCCTTCATTGGCTCCAATTTTTCATGTCCAGCAATAGAGCTGTCTTTTTTTTTTTTTTTT